GCAGGTAAGCCCAGAGAGCAAAACCTGGTATAAACCAAACCACACAAGCTTTGTGATGAAGGGAGGCAGGTAAAATAATGTTTCTTTGCACAGATTTAGGATTTCAGCCCTGCAGTTTGTGCCAAATACATACACATTTGTATGCCTATGTCAGAATTGTTTCTGCCAATCCCTGTTTGTCCCTTTTTAGCCCTGGCATCTGGGCCCAGGATCTTCCAAGTATCTTTGCAAGCAACAGAGAAACCAGATGACAAACAGAACATGCTTGAATCCTTCGCCCAGAGCAGGAGTGGAGTAGAAGCACTGATGAAAACCCACTTCCCTGCTGCCCTCTGATGCAAACAGCTTCTCACCAATCCAAACCCAAGGTGATGGATGTGAGGTTTGCCTTGCCCAAGACACCGAGGGACAGCCAGGAAGGGAAGATCAGTTGAGACCTAATCCCTCTGCCCTGCAGACCCCACTGTGCTGCTCTGGCCTTCCTCGTGGCAGCAGAAGGGGCAGCACACACCCACAGCCAGGGCTGGGTTTACATCCATCTGCAGTGCCAAACAAACAATCCTTACACACATCCTGCTATAACCCAGCCAGGAACCCAGAGAGACCCTCACACTGAGCAGAACCCTGCACTTCAGAGGCACCAAACACATCGCTGCAGCTCGTAAGAAGAGGGGAGGCAGAGGGGCAGAGGAGGGTGAAGAGGCCAGACAAGGAGAGTGTTTCACAGTCTTCTCCAAGGTGGTTCTGCAAAGTTCCTGTGCTCTGAAGGCAGCACTGATGGGGGGCTGCTGTGCCCCTGGGAATCCTGCTGCCTGCCCAGCTCTGCAGCAGTTCACATGGCACAGCCTGTCAGCTGGGACACTGTTCTCCTTTACAACCCTTTCGTCCAGCCTGTATGAATCCAGGTGGGTTACAAGGGGCATTCAGTCTGAACCTGGCCTCTGCACTCTTGCCATGCTGAAGGTGGAAGGAAAAGAACCAAGCAGAAGGTTCTGTCTGTCTCAGAAAGACTGCACCAGTGTGGCATGCAGCTCTGCACATGGGTTCCTGCCCTTACAGCCTGCCTGGAGTTATCGAGCTCCCAGTAACTAAAGGTCACTGGTGTCCCTGTGTGTTGCCATGAGTAAATCCTCTCTCAGCTGAACGTAGCAACAGAGCAGTGTGGCTGCATGGACAATAAATCCCATCAAACTGTGCGGACTCAGACAAATCCCAGGAATGCTTACCTGAGGAGAACACAAAATCCAGGCCCCTTCTTTGCCCCCCACCCTTCCCTGAAGCAGAACTGCACAGAGCTCCAGCAAGGCCCATGATCCCAGGGGAAAATCACACCTGATCCACACAACATCAGCACAAACCAGCACTTTTACTGAAGGAAGGAACCCTCTCCCTATGCCTGACACGGAACCATTCCCTAAATCCCTTGGGTGGTTTACAGGACTAAGCAAACCCATGCAGGCTGAGGCCCAGCGATGGGAACATGTGCTGTATTGGATCAGTCATGGGAATTATCCAAGCAATTCCATGTGACTTGTGAAATCAATAAGCAGATTGCACACCTCCAGTAGCACTTGTTTATGCACTGAAAGCTCAGCTCCTACTCAGCGCTACCAAAGATGGGCCACGCTGGCTCACACCAAAGGCCTTTCTAGACCTGGATTCTTTGCTGAACAACAGCATCATTGTGCCAGAGGGTGAGCAGGGAGAAGCCCAGTGTGGAGGAGCTGGGGAGCTTGCAGCAAACTAACTCCCAGGAGCCTGGAGCAGGAAGCCTGAGTCTCCCTCTTATCCTGGCAGGATGCTGCATCTCAGGGCATGTGGTTTATGTCAGTCCTGGCAAGGGAGGTAAGATACTGCAAAGAAAAGAGGATGTGGCACCTGTATTGGTAGCAAGGACAACGCTGGCGTGGGAGAGGGCTGCAGCCACGGCAGTTTCTTCTCGTTCCTTCAGCTCCTTTCTCAGGGTCTTGATCTCATTGAGAAAGTGGCTCCGCTCCCCCTTGTCTTGAGCCTTCTTGCTTTTTGTCTATAGAACAGAAAAATCAAGCTAGAACAAAGTGTTCCTGGTCCTAGGGTTTAACTACAGAGCCTGGATGCACACGGCTTCTCTGTGTCCACTGTGATACGTTGGCTCCTCATCATCTGCCCCAGGGAACCACAGTTTCTCTTCCCTTTCCCTCCCACAAAGCCCCTTCCACAGCCAGTGCTTGAAGCAGAAAGAGTATTTGTCTATGCAAAGGACGACCTGAATCAGTACCACAAGTAAAATGTGAGTATTGCTGCCCATCAGACCAGGGCATCAGGACTAACAGCATCCCCCAGGGTCCAGCCAGACATGGTCTATGCTGCAACTCCTCTGCTGCACATTCTGATAGTCCTGAACTGTGAACATGTGGTGGTGGAGAGTAACTCCCTGTCCTCAAATCCTCTGCTCAGCCCTTCCTGCTCTGCCTTATACCTTCCTGTGCCCCAGGGGAGGAGGTCAAATGCTTCAGTCCACCTGACAGCTGAGTCTAGGCATTGGTCAAAGCATCTGGGCACAGAGCAAGGAGTATGTATAATGGTGACTGGGCTTAATGGGTCTTGTGCCTTTGCTGGGTGAGGAACTGGGATTTCCTGTCTCATTGTGCTCTCTTACCTGGGGTGACCCTGTGGCTCCAAGTGACCTTGAAGCAGGACTCCCCAAGCTGAGTGCACCCTGTCCAGCCAAAGCAGAGCTCTGCCTTGTTAAAGACTGTCTCTGAGCTGCTGTCAATGATGCAGAGCAGTATCTAGACAGGCTCAGGGCTTTTTTTAGCAACGCCTGTTAAACATATCTAACACATCAAATCATCACCTCTGGTTGCCAGAGCTTCCCCAGCTACACACCAGCAGCTACGAGACACCAGCCAAGGCTTCGGTCACTGCAGTCGCCTTGAGAAGCCACCACACTCCCAGATGGAAATGGGGATGTTTCCTGGGAGGACGGGCTGGTCACTTGAGAAAGCTCAGAAGGTTGCAGATAGAAGCTTCTATATGTGGCCAAACCAATAAGACCTGATGGTTCCTATAGCATCCTCTGTATGGGTGGATCCTCTGGTGTCTAACACTCCTACCGCAGCCTTCTCCCTAGGAACGACACTCCTGTGCCTCACTCCTCCACTCAGCCACGTGTTTTGGTTAAACTTGTAGGTATTTAATACCTGTGAAACCTCTGCTTGTCTGTCAAGTGTAGTCAGAATTGGCTGACAGGCTCAGAAGCTACAGGGGAGGATCACAGACAGATACACAGACAAAGCAATCACACAGGCATCTTCTCCTCAGCTTGATCCACAAGGACAGCTCTTGATAGCCACTGAGATGAAGGGACAAAGCAGATTAGCATCGACTGCTTCTCTGCTAGGACAGGGGAAGATGAGAGGGCAGAAGTGATGGTGCCAGCGGGGCCAAGTTCAGTGTCTGCTCTGCAGAACAGATCTGGTTAGTGAACCAACAGCAACTGCTCGCTGGTGACATTCAGATTCACACACAGGAGTGACCCCCAGCTCTGGGAGCCCAGGCCAGGGCTAACAGAGCACTGCCAGGCCCAGCGAGCCCCAGGGACGGGGCCTGGATCCCACTCACTCCCCAGGAGGGCTCTGGGGGTCCCAGCAGGCTCCGATTGCCCTGAGCTGCCTCGTTTGGCCCCCACCCAATCACTCCTTGCCTGGGAGCTGTATTTAAGGCCAGAGCTTGGGCTGGCTCTGACCTACAGGGTTTGCATCCTGAGCCTGCCTTGCTTCCTGGGCTGCCTGCCCCATTGCTCTGGCCCTGCCTGGGACCTGCCCTGCTGGCTGACCCTGCTCAGCACTGCCTTTCTTGGTGCAGAGTATCCAGAAGCTGATGTCCTGGAAACCTTGAAGCTTGAACAGGTAAGGGAGGGAGACACAAGGGGGCAGAAACTGTGCAGAGAGCCTGGGAGGTCATTTCTATCACTAGCTGTCCTGTGGTTGGGGGATAGTGGTGAAGGAAAGGAGTGAGATGAGTCAGAATGTGGACTGCACAAAGGAAGACATTACTACAGGGGTGCGTAGGGGATATTGCAGGGAAGATGAGGGAAAGATGGGTGAGGACCTTGGAGGTGAGCTCTCTGCAGCCAGGGAGAGATGCTGATGATGCAAGTGTATCCTCTTTGAAAGACCTGACCATGGGCAGCCCGGAGCACTGCCAGGCAAGCTGAACTGCAGCAGTGTGCTACTGGGGTTTTGTTTGGTGTTTCAGGGTGGAACAAGCCTTGGTGGCCAGTTCCTATCCCCCATCACCATGTACCCCTTCCTCTAGGGAGGAAGCAGATGGAGACCTTAGTGCTGGAGGCTCTGATTTCTCCCTGATTTCCCTTCTACTACGGAAAATCAACAGTGGAAAAAACCCAACCTCCTCCCACCTTCCAAAGTGCTTCCAAGGAGAGGAAGGGGAACATCAACTACCAGTGAGAAAAAGACTCAGTGCAGAGCTGTGACTACAGCTGGGTCTCCTCCCCAGCAGGTTAGTGCACCCTGCAGGAACCAGCCCCACATGCCCTCTCCTTCCCTCACACCACGTGCAAGCACCACTCATCTGCCGAGTGCTGCCCCAGCAGCAGAAACTCTGGGTGATGCACAACCTCAGCAGGGAAACCTGCAGCTGCTCCTGAGGGTGGCTGCAGATCAATGCTCATGGAGCTGGAAGCTGTGTTTGCTCTGCAAACATGCAATACCAGGGCAATGAGCTCAGGCAAGTACCACAGCACGTGTGAGCAGGGGTATGGAGATGCTCTCCTGCACCTCTGATCAAGACAGGAGCTCTCTTGAGCTGGATACAGCTGCAAAGTGGCTTCTGGATCATGCTGCCACCAGAAGATGGAGGGGAAAATCTCTTTAGTATCAAAACTCACCTCAAGTGAAAGAGCTACTTTGTAAATTGAGTTTAGGAGAATTAGGTTGGGAAAGAAAAAATTAAGGATGCATTTTTACAGTGTAATGTGTTTTCTATTTGAGGTGGCTGAGAGTGGGAGGGAGCATCAGGACAGCAGACTTCTTGGTAGGAAGTGAATTAACGATGTGAGTGTTTCTGGTGAAGAGGATGGCATGAACAATGCCAGACAGATCAGCTGGGGAGCAGGCACTGCAGCAGCTCCCCCACAGGGGAGTGATGATGGCTTCAATCACAGGATCCCAGCCTGGTTTGGGCAAAGGGACCTTAAAGCTCCTCCAGCTCCAACCCCTGCCCCGGGCAGGGACACCTTCCACTAGAGCAGGTTGCTCCAAGCCCCTGTGTCCAACCTGGACTTGAGCACTGCCAGGGGTGGGGAGAGAGAGATCCAGGGATGGCCTTGAATGCTTCAGGGATGTTTTGCTGCTTTGATGGGGAATTTGGCTGGGATGAATCTGCTCTCAGCTCCTACAGCAGCTGAAGATGAGCACTGGTGGCAGGTGACTGAGGAGGCTCAGGCCACCCCTGGTACAGGTTCTCTGTGAGATCCCTCCTGAGGCAGGAAGCCTTCCTTATGTGTCCTTTCCTCCAAGGCCAGGTTAAATGCCTCCCAATCAGAGTAAATGGGATTAATCCAGGCCACATGTATCTCCAACTGTCAGTCCCTTGCACTCAAGATTCTTTCTCTTTCCTCTCCTTGAAGTGGCCTTTCTGCTGCTGACTGACCACAAAGGGAGGCTCATGCCCACCAGTATTTCGCCCCTACCTGTACACAGTAAGATCCAGACTAGGGGCATCACTGGGCTCAGAAGCACCAGGTTTGGTGCCAATGGCTCATGTCAGGACTTGTGCCTGTGACTTGCCTCTAGCCACCAATTTTGGGGCAACCCAGAGGACCTAGATGTTCTTGGAAGACAATCACCACAGCCAAGATGTGGCAGTGGTGTTCCTGACTCCGAGAGACACAGCAGCTTGCCTGGCCAGCAGATCAGGCAGTGCCAATGTAGAGCTTCGTGTGGTGGGGACACGTACCCAGGCCTGGTCGATGTCCTTCCTGATATCTGCCACGATCTGGGCAGCATCTCCCCGAGCCAGGACCGCATCCAGGGAGTGGCGCTGGATGGGCTCCAGCAGGCGAGCAGGGTGCCCCAGCCGCAGGATGCGCAGGCTGTGCCTGGCCAGCCTCTCCACCAGGTTATCCACTGCCACGTTGGAGGGGGCACAGCACAGCACCTGCAACGGGAGACACAAAGAGCTTGTCACGGCCAAGGATGGCGAAAGGCTGGAGTAACAGTGTCCAAGCAGGAAGACACTCGGCAGAGAAAGGGAGACCAACACATCCTTTAGGAATAACCCACTGACTTCTCCACAGCCTCCAGACACCAAAGGCAACTCTCACCTTGCTTGGAAGCAAGTGCAAGGTCTTCAGTAAATACCAGGCCTGGGTTTTGGAGCTTCTATTTGCACCCGATTTCAGCTGCCTGGTCCTCGGAAGCCAAGCCAGGCTCCGCAGTGTAGCACAGCTATGACTGGATCTGCTCCATCTGGAGATGAGCTGGATTTGCAATGAGTTTGCAAAAGAAACCACCTCTATATTCTGATACTCACTTTCAGGCCTTGCTGTACTGCCTGCAGGATGATCTCTATTAGTGTTGTGGTCTTTCCTGTACCAGGTGGTCCATGGATGATGGCAAGTTCCCTCTGTGCCAGTGAGAAGGAGACAGCCTCCCTCTGCGATGCATCCAGTGAGTTGTTGTAAAGCTGCAGAGGCTCTGGGGAGACAGCAGGAGAGTCGCTTGGTCCTCACCTGGTGCTTGCTGAGAAGCACAAATCCATGAATACAAGAAGCTCTCAGGAGATGGCCCAAATCAATCTGATAATGGGAATAACCATCCTGGGGGGAAGGTTATTGCTGTGTCCCACCCAGGCGGCTGAAAGAGCCCGGGCTGGAAGTGAGGCTTGTCATGCTTTCAAACCCGCTCCCTCCCTGTGTCCCTCCTCCTCCTCTCCTGTCTTGCAGGAGGAGCAGGCATCCAGTTGAGAGCACAGCTAGTCTGTACTGGAACACTTCAGCATTTAGAGGCATTTACTTGCTTTAGTACAGAATCCCAGCCTGGTTTGGGTTGGAAGGACCTTAAAGCTCCTCCAGCTCCAACCCCTGCCACGGGCAGGGACACCTTCCACTAGAGCAGGTTGCTCCAAGCCCCTGTGTCCAACCTGGCCTTGAACACTGCCAGGGATGGGGCAGCCACAGCTTCTCTGGGCACCCTGTGCCAGCGCCTCAGCACCCTCCCAGGGAAGAGCTTCTGCCTCAGAGCTCATCTCAATCTCCCCTCTGGCAGGTTCAAGCCATTCCCCTTGGCCTGTCCCTGCAGGCCCTTGTCCAAAGCCTCTCTCCAAGCACCACATGTGTAGCATCTCCTGGGTGTGGAAGTGCTCTGGGGTTATTTCTGAGGTGAGCCAGCACATTTAGTAAACCCTCAATGAAAAGAGGGGAGGAAGTTTGTGATCTTGCAAACAAATCACTCCCATTCCCATCTACAAACCCAAGATAGTACTGGTGAATAAAGCAGCTGGAAAACCTACGGCATCTGTGGGCAGAAAGGAGCAGCCCTGTATTATTCAGTGACGGAAGAGGAAGGCAGGAAGAAGATACAAAACAGCAACAGGAATGGTGAAAACTCAAATTAGTTTGAGTTATAATGATTGGAAAGAGAAAAGGGGAATGAATCTGCAAAGTGCATTACAGGGAATGGGCTTCACTGCAGAGATGGAATTGTCACAAGCTGCCTTTTACCTCCCAGATTTATCTAATTTCAACCCATATTTCTTCCCACTCCCCCCTAATCTCCTTGTTCATTATGGGAGTTAATTACAGCAGAGCTGGTGACTCATTACACTGAGGTGACTGGAAATCATGTTCCCACTGAACGCTTATGTAAGGCACATCTCCGGGCAGCATTCCCTGTGGGCATCATGTGTTTCAGCACTCTCTCTGCATTGAGGGCCTGATGGAAAGCATGGAAGCTGTTCCTGGCTTTGGGCAGGTTAACCTGTGTGCTCTCCCACGTAACCTCTGGTGCTGGCTGCTGGAGCAGCCCAGCTGAATGAGGGCTCTGGGGTAAACAGCACTTGTGAGGAAGAGGGAAACAGGAGTAGTGATGCTTTTCCCTGTTTACCTGCTCTGGCTCTACACAACTTTGGAGTCCGTGTGCTAATGACTAAGAGGAGGAAGCACCCCATGGGCTGGAGGAGAAAGAATAGCTTAAAAACTGCAAGGCATTTCCCACAACAGGGAACAGCCGGGACGTAGGAGTCATTGATGCTTCCTTGCTCCAGGAATGAGCTCAGAAACACCCTCTCCCCTGTTCACCACACGCTGCCAAGCGCTGAGCGTGGGCAGGCAAGGAAACAGGCCTCTTCCCAGGACTGGGCATGTCAGTGGGGAGGAGGAGGAGGAGGGCAAAGCCTTGGAAGGGATGATGCTGTGGCATGTAAACACTGCTCCATCCACCAGCTGGGCTCTAAGTGGGCTCACTTGAAGGAATCCAGCTTATCCACCCCAGCAGGGCTGGCCCAGGAGATCCTTATGAGCCATCAGCGTAGGATTTGCACTGGTGCTGCTGGAAGGCATCCATTAACCCAGCTCCAGCCCTGCGGCATCACAGAATCCCAGCCTGGTTTGTGTTGGAAGGGACCTTAAAGCTCCTCCAGCTCCAACCCCTGCCATGGACAGGGACACCTTCCACTAGAGCAGGTTGCTCCAAGCCCTGTCCTTGTGCTGTTCCCCAGAGCTGGATCAGGGCTGCAGGGGGGTCTCCCCAGAGCACAGCAGAGGGGCAGGATCCCCTCCCTGAGCTGCTGCTCATGCTCTGGGGGTGCAGCCCAGCACACGAGGGAGTTCTGGACTCAAGCACAAACTGAAGCCGGGTCATGGGGAGCTTCTCCTCACCCAACACCCCATTGCTTGTTCTAGACCAGGACTATAGGAGGGAGCTGGTGGCTACTACTGATCTGCACAGGGTTATGCCTACAATAAGGCTTGTTGTTTTGGAAAGCAAAGAGGTTGTGCCCACTGGCTTGGCAGGCTTTGCTCAGCAGCAGAGCAGGGCTGGCCCCTGCTGGCAAGCAAAGTCTCTGTATATCATCACAGCACAGAGGTGCAGGGGTCCCCAGAATACCTGCTCTGGGCAAGGAAGGATTGTTCCTAGGACATTGCTGGTGTGAAAGCTCTAAATGTTCCTGGGCCATATGTGCAAGTTAAAGTGGAGGAGAGCCAAGCAGAGCATCTTTTACAGGTGGGCATCTGTAACTTGCTTCCCAGAGAGTAATGAGCAGAAATCCTGGTCAGGTCAGAGTTTATCTTTAGGAAGCTCATTCTCTCACTTGGTCCCTTTCTGGAGGCAGCAAGGTAAAGGTGGAAGTGCTTTGTGGTGGGGACCAGCCCCATTCTGTTGCATATCCCATCTACATACTGGTGATCCCTTCTAACGCTTCTTTTGACTACTCCCCAGGTTGTTCTCCCCCAGCTCGTCTGGTGTTCTGGGTTATGCCAAAGATATCTACTGAGTTACATTTTTAAATGCTTTAAAAGGACCTGGGCTTTGTTGTTCAGCTCTGTAGGTAACACCTCAATCCATGCCCAGTCCCAGCAGCTCAGGAGGAGGGAGGAGAAGCCTGGCCCTGCTCAGCACTGAGCCACACTCTCCTGGCCAGATCCAGGGGGGCACCCCAAGCACCTTGCAGCAGGGTTGGAACTGGAGGAGCGTCAAGGTCCCTTCCAACCCAAAACATTCCAGGATTCTATGATTCCATTCTTCCAGAGGTTGGTTGTACAGGGTTTCTTCAGGGCATACCCAAGTACAGTGACATGAGCCTCATGGCCTATCTGGCAAATAGCTTTTAGTTGGTTATAGTTTTGCTGCACTCTGATCCTCTCAGGATGGGATCACAGCTCCTTGGTTATCTTGGGAGAGCAGCCTGCCGAGTGTGCTGATGCAGGAGCTATATTAAGTCTGTGTCAGCACAGGAGGGGGCCTAAATCCAGCCACAGGCTGATGAGGTTGACGAGGAGTCCGATAAAGCCAATGGACACATGGGTGTGAGAAGTTAGTGGCTGCTGGTGTGTGACCAGTGCATGATATTGGCTTAGCAGAGGAAACAGCAGCATGAGCAGAGGGTAGAAATGACAAAACCACATTAGTGCCCTTTCCCAGAGCTGCTGCTGATGCTGTGCTAATCTGCACACGGCTGCTTCCCAGTGCCAGGAAAGGCCTGCTCACTACTCAGGGTGAATCCTCCCAGCAGTGATGAGTGCAGGCACAATTCCCACTGGAGCAATGTCCTGGAGTATGGGTTTGGCAAGTGGGCTTGTGTAAGATGGTGGTCAGTAACTGGGGGAGAAGATACAATCATAAACTCACAGACTGGTTTGGGTTGAAGGGAGGTTAAATCCCATCCAGCTCCAACCCCTGCCACGGGCAGGGACACCTTCCACTAGAGCAGGTTGCTCCAAGCCCCTGTGTCCAACCTGGCCTTGAACACTGCCAGGGATGGGGCAGCCACAGCTTCTCTGGGCACCCTGTGCCAGCGCCTCAGCACCCTCACAGGGAACAGCTTCTGCCTCAGAGCTCATCTCAACCTCCCCTCTGGCAGGTTCAAGCCATTCCCCTTGCCCTGTCTCTCCATCCCTTGTCCAAAGCCCCTCTCCAGGTTTCCTGGAGCCCCTTTAGGCACTGGAAGACTGTTATAAGGTATTACAAATACACTGCATCCTGGAATGGCATTCACAGAGTTGTGTCTAGACAGCCAGTTTTAAGAGATGTACAGAACTTATTAACCCTGAGACTCCTGCCAGGTTGGTCTGAAATCAGATAATGGATGGGATGAGACACAGGGAAGCATCTCCTTAAGAAACCAGGCTAAAAGATGCTTGGTCATGAAAGGAGCTCCTGTGCCATGGAGGAGCAGCAGCCTGAAATGCTGTGAGGTTTCTCTGTCCTTCTGTGTGCTCCTGGAAAACACTTCCTGCCTTCTGCGGACAGTCCACACACCTGTGAGTGTCTGTGCTATCTGCAGAGACACATCCCTGTGTCCTACAGTGGTGGGACACCTGAGGAACTGCATGGGCTATTCCTTACAAGAAGCACAAGGGACAGGATTTACCCAGGCAGCTGCTTTGTCCTCCAGTTCAACCCAGTGGAGGGGGGCAGGTCAGGGCACCTTGCAGGCCCCAGCTACAGTCATTATTATTTAATTCCTGGCTGGTGTGACACCTTTCCAGCTTGGGAGAAAGAAGCTCTAAGGTGAGAAGGTAAATGGAAGGTCTTTCCTCCCTGCCAGAGTGCTTTGCTGTTCTCAGGTGATACGCTGCTTTCTCATATTGCATCTCCTTCGTCTGTCTGATGTGGCTGAATGTTTCTGTCAGTGTTCTCAGTGCTGGGGATATTTGGAGTTCACCTCTGCTTCGTTTGGCACAGCTGAGCAATGTGGTGAAAAGGACTTTTTCTCTGTTAGAGAAGCAGTTCTGCTCCACAAGGGAAGAAGCAGAGTTGAAGCAGAGAAAGTTAGCTCATTAAAATTTAAACCTTGTATCTAATATTAAAACTCTGAGTGCACTAAGGTCCCAGGCAGCCAAAGGCTAAGAGGTCTGACTTGGATTAAGCTCAGTGCTCAGAACTATGGAGCTATCACTTGCACTAACCTGAACTCCTTGTCCTTGGTATATGGATCAGAAGCCTGCCAGAGGGGTACTGCAGGGCGTGGGAGTTGTGTGTGAGAGGCAACCAACCAACCACAGTGATCACAGTGAGAGGAAAGCTGCAGCAGCAAGTGCAGTGCCAGGAGCTGTGCTGGGGGGGAAGCAGTGCAGCCCTGGCCAGCACAGAGGCAGGCAGGGCTGGATGGTGTCACCTGTGGCAGGATGCTGAGGTGAGAGGAGAGACCTCAGCTCTGTGTGGCTCAGAGGCAGAACTGCTGCCCAGGCCTGCTGGGCAGCTTCATCCACCCTCTGCCTTCACCCCCTGACTTTAGCAGCCCAGAGGATGCTTCCTCTCTGTCAAGGGATAACATTCCTTAGCAGTTGCTGAGCACTTGGATATTCTGCTGATCAGAGGCTTTGGTTCCCCCATAGTTGCTCTCAAAGGGAAAGCTGTGTAATTCCATCTTTCATTTTTCCCATAGACTCACATAAAAAGACATCTGAGTAAAAGGGATTCTACTTATACACCAGTTTTTGACAGCTGTTGGTAAAACCCAGTTTAAAACCAACAGTAAAACTCAACCGTTGTGAGGTTTTAAGTATTTGATGAAACCAGAGCAGCCTGCACATCTCCAACCTGGCTGAATGCAATAAGGCTGTAAAAACCCAAGTGTTCTCATGCTATTTCCAGCTGCAGCAGTTCCAGTCACTTAATTCCCATGAAGGCAGAGTTATTGGTTTTTCAATATAGAAGCAGCACTGGCAGTTTCTGATCTCTCAAGTTTACGGATGGGATTGAGGCAGGAAGCAAATCAGAAATGCCTCATAAACTAAATTGAATTTCAGACTCATGAATGTGTGCAAACAAATTCCCCATCACAAATCCTGCCTGGTTTATGCCAGAATCCAGCTTTACTTGGTACACTGAGAAGAGTGAGCATTAACCAGCTGAATAGCCTCTGTCCCAGTGATGACAAGAGTCTTTACATGACCAAAGTGTGTCCAGTTGCCCATAAATCAGTAAGGAAAGTAACTGTTCGACGTTGCCAGTTACACCACCACTTACTGCTCGCATTCAACACCTGGGTGTTATTACTGGAGCACAGTAAGCTGCATGTTTGGGGTGGATAAAACCTCACAAAGATCAGAGCTGTGTTCCCATGGGCAGTTTCAAAGAATGGGTCTTGACCTGAGAGGCCACAAGCACCATTCTCAGCTGGGCAGCCCCAGAGGCAGGACTTTGAGGACTGGAAGAGGAGTAGAGGCAGCACCATCATTACTTTGGGCACTCGCTGGCTCGTTGCTTCTGTCAGATGTGACATCTGAAGAGGTAAGAATCCTTCTAACTGGGCAGCGACAGAGCACAGAGCCCTTATTTTGTGTGTGTGTGTGTGCGTGGACCTTCAGGCTTTCCCGACTGCTCTGAAGAGTGAAATTTCCCCACAAGTGCTCTTTCTGCACAATAACTTTCCATATCTTTGCTTACAACCAGCAGCCACAGCACTGCTCTCACCAGTCCAGCCCAAAGGGTTCTCCACCTGCCTAGCTTCCAGTTCCCATACTAAGGCAGACTAAAACCAGTAGCAGCCCCAGTGTATGTGCTTGGCTGTGAAGGTCCAGGGGCTCTGAGGGAGCAGAACACTCCTCTAGAAAGACCAGTGCAGTCGCTGCCATTGGTCTGGTAGGAAATCTTATAACAAAGCATCTTACTTGTTTCACTGAATGCTCTGGGCTCAGCAGAAAAGAAGAGGACGTCGATGAGGTCAGAGGCTGGACCCCCCCGATACTGCTTCAGTGCATTTAAAGCTCTGTCAAAGGAAAGAAGAGCCAGGTTACACCACAGCACGAGCTCCTGGAAGTTCCTGTGCACCTCAGGGCCCAGGGGCAGAAGACTGTGGGCACAGACTGAGCTCCCCCAAAGCTGGAAATGTTACTCCCCAACAGACTAATTGCTGCATTCCCCCAGCCCTCACACTCACATCCCTCATGCTGGTCAGGCTTCCTTCCACTTGCTCCTATTCGTCCAGTCTGATTCAGTCAGACCCTGTGCTGAGCCTTTTCAGCACATGAATTCAGCACAGAGCTATTCACTTCTCCTGCCAGGATGGAAAAGGCTCTACACAGAATCCAGTAAGTACCAGAGGTGATACAACATGGAACTACAGTGTGTAGCTGAGTGTGGGATGAGGGGTGGGAGAGGAAGAGGGAAGAATGGACCAAACCAGCCAGGAGGTAGATAAATTTAGGCTGTTTTGACGCTGTAGCATAACATATCCAGCTGAGTTACTACAGTACAGGTTCCCCTAGTACTGAGCAGAAAGAAAGGCACAGCCAAAAGCTGGATACCTCCCCTAAGTGGAGCTGCTATTGGAGCAGGAGGAATAGATGGGCAAGAGATAAGCCCAGCCTAGTGAAGTAAACTGAGACCTGGCCCAAAAGTGTTTTTCCAGGTTAAACTCAGCATTTTCCAGCTGGCTTTTGCAGCCCTGGGCCTTACTTTTTGAGCCTGTTGTAGGTGACATCGTTGGCCAGCTTGAGCAGGCGGTAGGAGCGCTCATGGTCCAGGCTCAGTGTGTCCTGAGGGTCCTCAAAGGCGACTGTCACTGCTCGGGAGGTGACACGTGTCACGATGCCCGTGCAGAGCGCGTCACCCTGGCTGGCTGCCTCGTACAGGCCGGCGATGTCTCCTGCAGGGACATGTTTGAAGAGAGCATGAACCAGGGCAAACGTTGTGAAAAGAGGCTTTTTTAGGGAGCCCAGCAACCAAACATGGCCCCAAATGGAGGAAATACAACCCCTCAGGAAGGAAAAGGAAAATCCACTTTCTGTTTTACTGTTAAAGTGCAAATGACTAAAGCTCCTCACCTACCACATGAACACTTTGGTTTGGACAAAGAATGCCAGGAAATCTTTAATGACAAGAGACCAGGGCTTCGGTTTCATTAACTGAGCAGGAGGAAACCAGCAGTTTAGTCACCAGCCCTTCCTGGTGCAACATACGTGTCTGCAGCCGAGGAAGAAAGAGGCTGCTTTCCTCTAGACTCATCATGTAGCCATAACATTTTCTCCCTTCTTGGCATCAATTGTTCAGTCTTTACAAATACCACATTAGAAAGACATTAGGAAGATGGTGGTGATGCCCTTGCACAGGCTGCCCAAGAAGTGGTAAATGCTCCATCCCTGGCAGTGTTCAAGGCCAGGTTAGACAGAGCCTTGGGTGTCACAGTGTGAGGCGCCCCTGCCCGTGGCAGGCGGTTGGAACTGGGTGAGCTTAAGGTCCTTTCCAACACAAACCATTCTATGATTCTATGTTGGTCGTCTCTTACTTTGCCCCGACAGGAATCTCACTCACCAGGCCCAAAGCTATTAGAAGGCAGCTCAGCATCTAGGTCGTGTTTCCTAGGCTGGAAGGTCACGAGCAGGCGGCCGTAGAGGCCAGTTCTCTGGCTGGCAGCGTGGAGTTTCAGCAGGCAGACACCCCTGCGCTGCAGCTCCTTCAGGGGGACACTTTCCTGCCATGCCCTGCAAAGCAAACACAGGCGTGGAACCATTTACTGGCCTGAAGCTGAGACTTAGAGCTCCAGGTGACAGAAAAGGAAAAGCCAGGGGGGAGATGGAAAAGAAGGGGAAGGACGATGCTAAAAGAGGCATCAACTTGTTGAAGTGTTGGTTTAAGCTATAACCTTGTAGTGATGTAACTACACTGGCTTCTACGGGCTTTTTGGGCAACAGGGTGATGTTCATAGAGCCTGGAGAAGAGTCTGTCTATGTGTTATTTTCCTCTCTTCTGCCTGGGTGTGAAGAGAAAGGAGAGAATAACCTGAGTTCTCTCCTGAGAATAACCACCACCCAGGAGAGAACAACCTGAGTTTTCCCCTATCTCATCCAAGCACTAGATTGGAAGAGCTGCCATTCTCCACAGGAAGCTGTGCTGATCTGCACCAAAGCCCACGTGGGCAGCAGCTCAGGGAAGAGGAGCGGGTGCCTGGCACAGCCTTGCAGCCCACAAGGGACCCTGGCACTAAGCAGCAGCTTTGCAGACTGCATCCTGTGTGGTCCAAGTGGGCTGCAGCAGCTCCGTTTGCCCCAGTTTCACTTCAGGGAACGGGGGTGTCTTTGTTTTTGTGTACATCCGAACAGAAAGGGAAATCCCTTTAGCAGGTTTATCCTCCTGAACCCCCCAGCTTGGCTTGTGTCCCGTAGGTTGGTTTGTAGGGAGCTGAGGCAGCAGGAACTGCAGGTATGGAATGAGCTCATCCTGTCTCCTGGCACTTGGGGCTGGGTAAGGTCAGGCCTCACTGGCACCACAAGTGGGGTGTCTGTGCCCCCACTGTAGCACCTCACAACCCAGAGGCACCTGGTGACACCCCTGCCCTGCCTGGCACCACGAATCCATGGGGCTGCTGGGATCTGGGTTCAGTTTGAGCCCCAGAGCAGGGTCCAGCACCCCCTGTGTGGAGCAGGGGAGCCCCAAAGTGTTGCTGGAGAGAGCTGGGGTCCTGTGAGTGACAGCAAGCCCTGGAGGGTGAGGAATGGGGGGATCCCTACAGGAGTGAGCTGGGCCTACAGAGGTGAGTCCAGCAGGGCTTCCCATGGATTAGAGGGTGGGTTTCCTATTGGGATGTGCTGGTTACACAGGAGCATTTCCTATAGGTGACAGTGAGTTTCCCACAGGAGATCCATAGGACTGAGTCAGCAGGTCCCTTATAGAGGTGTATCTGAGGACGTAACTGGGAATGGCTTTAACTGCCAGAGGGGAGACTGAG